TTGTGGTCGGTCGAGCATCTATAGTTGTTCCGAACCTTTGTCCATGAATAAGGATTGAATATTAACGATGGAAAGCTTCCATCGAAATTCTCGAGATCAAAGGCCAGAGGACCTGCAAAAATTGGTAATACATCAAAAAAAAAATGAAGGAGAAGAAAACAAAAATCATATTAAAGAAAAGAACCCTATAAACTAAAAGTAGTAGCAATGTTGATAACAACATACAAAAGATTAACTTAGCATGGACTTCATCTATAGTGAGGTTAAGTGGTTAACATAAATATGATCTGCAAACTAAAAAGTAGTAGTAATGTTGGTACCAATTACCAACACGAGTTACTACTTAGCAGATATATTTTGCATAATTAATGTTTTTCTGTAGTATGTTATTCATGAGTTATTTTATTTTATTTTTTTGTACAGGGACCTTCCGGTTTCCGGATCCATAGGGGAACCGACTAATCCGGAATCGAGCTGGGTAGAGCGGCAAACGGATGGTGTTGTAACGAAGAAAGTGCTTTAAAAATAAATTGTATTTTCATTTTATATATATAACTTGAGACAACTTATTGGCCCCGTTTGGAAGATAGTGGATTGAGGATAAATTAGCGGATTGGACTTAATTGAGAGGTTTGACCCGTCAAATCCGCTATTGAGTTTGTTTGGTAAATAGCTTATTCGATAAGCTTTTTAGGCCCAAAACTCTAATTTAGAAAAAGCTCATTAGAGGAGCTTTTTGGGGATAGAGGATTCACAATCTACAATTTTAATTTAAAACTTTTTAATTTGTATTATTTATTTTACAATCTACATTGGTTTATGATGCTAACAAATAATAATATGTCATCCATATGATTAATTTATCTAGAAAAATGTAATATTATAACTTCTTAATCAAGTGTTAGTAAATTTTTTTAAAAAAATATATTTATAAATTACCAACTAAAAAATAATAAATTTTTTAATATATTATTATTAAAAAAAAGAATAATAAAATATCCTTATTGGTAATTTGCAATGTCAAACAACTATAAGCTTTCAGCTATTTACCAAACACTTATTTAAAAACCGCTAATGTAATCCGCTAGTCAAATCAGCTAATATAATCCGCTATCCGCTATCCGCTAATACAATCCGCTATCCGCTATCCGCTATCCGCTGATCGCCAAACAAGGCCATTATTTTCATTTTATAATTCAATTTGAGTAATCTTGTAATAATCATTATAATTATATAAAGAAATAGTTTCCTTATGTTTTTAAGGAAAGATTATTTCTATATATATATATATCCTCCCTATATATAATTTTCGAATGCGTTGAGCCTACGTGGCTGCTTCTGGTGCTTCGGAATCCTACTTGGTGA